AATGGCCAAAGGTGCTCCATACACTAAACTAATGTTTGGCTGAACTTTTGCATAGAGGTAAGTCAAAGTGTTTCCTGCAGATAAGGTTGGAATTTTTCTTTAAAAAATTTTTAAGTACTTTATAATTGCTCTGGGAATAGAATTCCCCCCACCCCCATTTTATCCCTTTAGTGATACACTGGAAAGTTACTTATTTTAAAATATCTATCTCATATCTAAACTCTCTACTGAGCTCTCATTAATTCTAAGCATTGCCCCTACTCAGATTCAGGCCATCATCATCTCTTGCCTGGATTACACCACCTCCCCCCATCTCCCTTTTTCCAATCTCATACTTCCCCTGATCTGTTCTCCACGCTGAAGCCAGAGTGATTTCCCCAAAATACAATCCTGATCATGTCACTTCCCTGCTTAAAGCTATCTCTAGTCTCTTGTCATATTTATGTTGAAATTCTCAATACTGCTGTGGCCTCCACTATCTGAGCTAATTTGTCTCCTGCTAGCTCGCCAGCTTCACCTCCTGCCAGACTGCTTTCTGTACCTAAGATCCAGATGTCCCAAGCTTTCTTTTTGTTTTTATTTAAATTAAATAAATTTGTTTCTACTTAAATTTTAAAATTTCAATTTTAGTTATATTAGCCAACATATAGGTACCTCACTAGTTTTAGATGTAGTGTTCAATAATTTATCAGTTGTGTATAGCCCCAAGCTTTCTTTTTTTTTTTTTTTAAGATTTTATTTATTTATTTGACAGAGAGAGATCACAAGTAGGCAGAGAGTCAGGCAGAGAGAGAGGGAAGCAGGCTCCCCGCTAAGCAGAGAGCCAGATGCGGGGCTCGATCCCAGGACCCCAAGATCATGACCAGAGCTGAAGGCAGCAGCTTAATCCACTGAGCCACCCAGGCGTCCCCTAGCCCCAAGCTTTCTTAAAGGTCATCTGAAGGACCTCATTCCCACTCTTATTTCGAGCTCTTTGTCCCTGCTGATTCCTCTGCCTGGAATACCATCTCCTTCCACTCTCTTCCTTTCTCCTTCAGCCTTCACCTAGCCAACCAACATCCACTCACCCTTCAGGTTTTGACTGAAAGAATACACGCCCACCCTGGACTGGGGTATCTGAAATGGATATATATTGCCCTGTGAGTCATGTCTTTGTATATATCATCCAGTTGTTTCTTCATATGTTTTTATTAATAAGCCCCCAGGGGCCCCTCAGCCGCTGAGCTACTGAGTCCTCACCTGTGAGAACAGGTGAGATGATGACATCCCGACCCAACTTACTTCATTCCCGTGTCAAAACAACTTTACTTCTAAAAACAACTTTCGAAATTGTATCAAACCCACCTAACAAAACCACAGAATCCTAGGCACTGCGCTGGGCGTCAGGGACCTAGAACAAGATAGAGGTGGTCCCTCACTGCCCCGTACATTCACGAGCGCGTGTGTGAACCGCTTATTACAAGGCGATAATGGGCGCTAGTACACCATCGGGAAGATGACACAGCAGGTGCTCCTAACTCAGACTGGGGAGGGTCAGCGAAGTCTTACAGAAGGGCATCAGAGGTAAAACCGGAGGAAGGATGCGCAGGTCTGGGGAGAAATCTCACTTCGAGGCAATATGGGAGTCGTCAGCTCGTGGGCAGTAAGAGCAGCCGTCGCAGTGGACGAAAGGGCGAGAGTGGTAGAGTGAGGAGCGGGCGCGGGACCCGATTGTGAAAAGCCCCCAGCCCTCCCTCCCCAAGATACTAACTACCCAAGCCCTCGCCGGCGCTTTCGCCCTTCCGGGAGCTTAGCCAGCGCCCGCCAGCGCCAGCCAGCCCCGAGCCGCGCGCGACCACAGCCTCGCCTCACCGGGCCGGGGAGGGCGGGACTCGGCTCTGCAGGGGCGGCTCCTCCCGCCACCCAGAGACTGCGCGGGACGTGCCGCCCTGCGCGATGACGTCAGCACGCCCGCGCGTGCCGGGGGAGGAGTGGGAGTCGCTGGCCGGGAAGGGCTGAGGCTCCGGTAACCCCGGCAGGGAGGGGGAGAGGGAGGGGCGGGGCAGGAGCCCCCTGGAGTGCGGGATCGTGGTCCGGACCCGGAGCGAGAGACCCCTCCACACGCTCAGCGCCGTTTCTTCAGCCAGCAGGCCCCGGCCGGGCCGGCGATGGAGTTTCCGGACCTCGGGGCTCACTGTTCCGAGCCGAGCTGTCAGCGCTTGGGTGAGGGGCGGAGCGCGCGAGGGGCGGGGCCGGGCCAAGAGGGGCTTGGAGTTGCAGGTGGAGCAAAGGGTGGGCTCCGGGGCTGGCAGTGCCGGAGGAGGGCGGGGACCGAAGTTGGGGGCGGTGGCCAGGGGGCGTGGCTTAGGAGAGAGTGGCCTAGGACCGGGTGCAGTTGGTTGCACGGGAGGCGTTTTTCTTTCCCCTGAGTGGAAGGCTGAGTGAGTGGGAACGACGTTGAGGTCCCGCTGGACCTGCAATCCGACCTGCTCCCTGCAGATTTTCTGCCGCTCAAGTGCGACGCCTGCTCCGGCATCTTCTGCGCAGACCATGTGGCCTACGCCCAGCATCACTGTGGATCTGCTTACCAAAAGGTGAGGGGGCGGTCGGAGGGTGGGAGGGGGCGGGTGGAGGATGCTTGCATTATCTCCGGAGTCCCTCTGTCTCCCATTTCCTCTCCTTTACTGTTTTTCTGAGGCTCAGTGCTGGAAACATTGTTTCCTTGCATGTTTATAGGGGGTATATTCAGGTTCTCTCGGGCAGGCTGTTTCAGGACCAGAGATTTGGTTTGACTGGGAGCGGGTCACAGACTGACCCCTGCTCCTTAACTCTAGGATATCCAGGTACCTGTATGCCCACTCTGTAATGTGCCTGTGCCTGTGGCCAGAGGGGAGCCCCCTGACCGCGCTGTGGGGGAGCACATCGACCGAGACTGTCGCTCAGATCCAGCACAGCAAAAACGTAAGGTAAGCGTTGGAGGGGTTAGCCATGACTCAGCTGGGACCATGGATGCTTGCAAACCGCAACAGCTCTTGCGATGGCATTGGAGAACGTGGTCAGAGTCTCCGCAGAGACAAACCTTCCCTCTCTGCCTCAGATCTTCACCAATAAGTGCGAACGCTCTGGCTGCCGGCAGCGAGAAATGATGAAACTGACCTGCGAGCGATGTGGCCGAAATTTCTGCATCAAGCACCGTCACCCACTGGACCATGATTGCTCCAGGGACAGTCACCCCACCAGCCGGGCAGGGTAATTGCAACCAGGTCCAGTACTTGCCTTTAGGAATCACCCCATCCTTTTGGAACTGACTCAGCCTCTACAGTTACAAGTTGGGGAGCTTCAAACCTGTTGCCTTTGGCTAGAGGAGTCTTTTAGCTTTCTATTCAAATGCGTATTTTTCCAGGCTGTTTGGGGGGAATTTCCCTCCTGACCTCCTGGGTAAGGCCTGGGAGGAGCATGCAAGCTGACTGTTCTTGGAGGCATACCAAGAGTGTCTCTTCCCTACAGACTTGCTGCCATCTCCAGAGCACAAGGTCTGGCTTCTTCTACAAGCAGCGTCCCCAGCCCAAGTCGGACATTGCCTTCATCTACCTCTCCCAGCAGGTAGGCATGCCTGCCTGGTTCTTCTCTCCCTTTTTTCCCTTCGCATCTCTGACCTGAGCCTCTTGAATGTCTGCCGTAGAGCGACAACCCAGTCTCCGTCCCAGACAGCCCCTCCAGTGATTGCCCTGCAGAATGGCTTGGTGAGTTGGGCGGAGCTTGAGCGACCAAAGCAACCCCCCCACAGAGAATAAAGTCCAGGGCAACTGGTCGTCTTTCTCCTTTTTTGCAGAGTGAGGATGAGGCTCTGCAAAGAGCTCTGGAATTGTCCTTGGCAGAGACCAAACCCCAGGCCCCAAGGTGCCTCCTCTGGTGAAAGAGGGTGGGATGTGGGCAAAGGCTGTTTGGAGGGACGGTGGTGGGACTACTCCAACCCCACATAGAGTAATAATTAAGAAGTTGGGCTCAAAATTCTGCTTTTTAACTCTACAACCTTTGACAAGTTCTTGAACCCATAAAGGTTCTTGATTTTCTCTAAAATGGGCCAGAACTGCTACCTACCTTGTAGGGTCACGTGAAGACTGAGAATACTCGGAAGCGCTCAGCACAGGGACGCTAGCAGATCAGATGCTCGCGTTTTAGATATTACTGTCATCCAACTTGCGCTGTTGCTCCCTCCCAGTTCTCAGGAGGAAGAAGACTTAGCTTTAGCACAGGCCCTGTCGGCCAGTGAGGCAGAATACCGACGGCAGCAGGTATGAGGACTGGGGAGAGCTCAGGGCCTGGCCGGGAGGGGAGTGGCGGGGGGGGTGCTTTCTTCAAGTGGTAGAGTTTGGGAATGGTGGTTATCCTTTCGTTTTTGGTGTGACTCCAGCCCACACTAGGCTCTGAAGTGAGGACCAGCCCTCCTTTCCCTGACACCATGCCCTTTCTTCCCTTCCTTCCCCTTTCCTTGCTCCAGGCCCAGAGCCGCAGCTTGAAGCCGTCCAACTGCAGCCTGTGCTAGGGCCCTGGGCTTGGGGAGGGAGGCTCAGCTGAGGAGGACTCTGGCCCCCACACCTCTAGGGTACACAGGGAGAGGAGGCTGGGAGCAGCCAGGAGTGAAGATGAGGAGGCCACCTCCGGGGAGCATCCGGAGGAGCAGCGTGTGGAGCCGAGCCTGCAGAAGGCCCCGCTGGCCTCTCCAGCTGCCCAGGAGAGAGCAGCTAGAAGTGTCCGGTGGGTGGGCCCTTGGCGAATGCTGGCCAGGCCCCATATAGCCCCCTGCATTTTGTCATCCCCTTTACACTGAGGCTGCCCTCATGTGTAGGGGGCAAGGAGGGGCCTGGAAGGAATAAAGGATCTTGGCAGTCACTAAGACCTCCAGGTGGCGTGTTTCTTTCTCTTGTCCAACCGAAACCAGAGGAGTCCCATTAAGAATGCACCCCTGACTTAAGGGTAGAGGCTCCCCAGAGTACCCCACACCAGAGTCACAAGGATCCTAGCATGGTCCACACTTTTATTTCCCCAAAAAGTGCTTTTCTGAAAGGTTCTTTTCCTCTGCTATGGCTAGCACCATATCCCTTCACTGGGATGAAATGTGCCGGGAGAAGGGATACATCTTCTTCCCCTCTGAGTTCTCCTTTGGGAGGGACGTGGCCGCAGCTTTAGTCACTGGCCTCACTCTGGGGGTCTGGTGTCCTCAGAAACTTCTTCTTGTCCCCGCTGCTGCAGCTGCCACATGTCTGCGTACATGCCGCCTCGAGACAACAGAGCCTCGTGCCTGGGGTGAGGAGGAAAGTGCAAGTCCCTATTACCTGCTTAACTCTAAGAGTCCTCACCTCCAGCCCACAGAGAGGAGAGGGATCGGCCCAAGAGATCCCTCTGAAACACTCCTGGGATTTCATCTTTTCCTTGGCCCCCATTCAGAGGTCCTGCCCTGTTCATCGTGCGGGCTTCCTTACCGTCCTCGCTCCACAATGCAGCCATCCTTAAAGACAAGGATCTGGTCAGCGTCGACCACAGTTGAGAGCCTGAGAAATTAGAGTTGAGTTAGGCAGTGCACAACAGGTGGCCACCCGCCACCCACCACCCAGGTCCCGTACCTGTGTGCCACTACGATGGTGGTGCGATTGGCGCAGACTTTGGCCAGAGAAGCCTGGATGGCTCTCTCATTAGATGTATCCAGTGCGGATGTTGCCTACAGAGAAGATCTGGGTAAACCTGGCCCTGCCTCCCAAAATCCCCATAGAAGGAGGATACGAGCTGTTACCTGAGGTCTTGGGAATCAATAAGGACCTTCTCTGCATTTGAGAACTGTTAAGATGTCTTTACGAAGCAGGGATTCACGCTATCTATCCGCGATGGGACACTGCCCCATAGCAGCGGCCTGGACCCAGGCAAGGGAGGAAGAAGGGAAGCAGGCAGCCTCGGGCCCTCACCTCATCCAGCAGAATGATGTCTGGAGCCTTGAGGATGGTGCGAGCAATGGCAATGCGCTGCTTCTCTCCCCCACTCAGCTTGAGTCCCCGCTCACCCACCTGCGTCTCGTATCCTGTGAACATCGCCCACCTCCCTCAAGTCACACAGGCTACATTTGGTTTCTGTGACCAGATGAGCAGGAAGGGATGGAGCAGAGGTCAGAAGGAGGAGCAGGGCTGAATCAGGCAGGGGAGGGGCTCTCTCTGCAGGGGAGCTCACCTTCAGGGAAATTCAGGATGGCCTCATGGATGCCGGCAGCCTGAGCAGCCGCCATCACCTCCTCATCCCCAGCAGTGACGCAGCCATAGCGGATGTTGTTGGCAACGGTGTCGTTGAAGAGGACGGTGTCCTGGGGCACGACTCCAATGTGTGACCGGAGGGAGATCTGGGTCACCTGGAGCCAAGAGACCAAATGCCCCAGGCTGTGAGACTGCCCCACACCCGCCCTCTGGCCTGGAGGTAGCGGGGGCTGGGGGGGGGGGGCAGGAGGGGAAGCACATGGGAGGGGGTACAGGAACCCTGTCACCACTGCCCCAGATCCTAGCTGTGTGAGCCAATCCCTCAACCTCCCTGAGTCTGTTTCTCTGTCTATGAAGAAACAAGACGCTCTGCGTGCCCGGACTCCCTTACTTGGGGAGGTCACACGGCACGAGGAAGGCTGAGGGCTCCAGCTGCAGCTTTCTGCACGGGTGACATCCTCTCTCCCCGGACAGTGGCCAGCACTCCCCAGAGTATCCTTCTTTAACACACAGGCCCTTAAATCACAGTCTCCTCCCTGGGAGCCCTACCTGGGAGATGTCCTGCCCATCGATTCGGATGCAGCCGGAGCTGATGTCGTAGAAGCGAAACAGCAGGCGCAACACTGTGCTCTTCCCAGCTCCCGATGGGCCCACCTGGCGCAGTGGAAACAGAGGGAAGACATGTTCAGGCCCGCTGGCTCTTAAGGCTTCCTGTCCAAGAAGCTGCCAGTGTCCACAGAGGCTGCTACGTTCGATCCTATGGCCTGCGTGACAGGATTTGGTCTCCACTGCCTGGATCACAAACTTCCAGAAGCACCGGGAGTAGGGTAACTCAAGGAGTCTGGGCCAATACCCGGGTCTTCTCTCACCAGGGCCAGTGTCTGTCCAGGCATGACGGTGAAGGACACGTCCTGCAGGGTCTCTCGCCTGCAAGGAAGGGTGGGCATGGTCAGCAGGCCTGCGGCACTCCCAGTGACCTCTTCCATCGGCAGAGCTACTCCTGGGCCCTGCCCCTCCCCAGCTCAGGCTCCCTTTCTAGGCAATGGTGGGTGAGAAGCTGGGTTGGCCACATGTAAACGGACGACGGGACAGGGGCTGGGAGGTGGCAGAAGGCAGGCTCACCCACTGGAGTAGCTGAAGTGAACGTTCTCAAACTCAATCTGGCCCCTCTGGAAGCGCAGGGGCCCTGCTCCAGGCAGGTCCTTCACCTAGGAGAGTGCCGCCCGTGTGTGCTGCCACCACAGGTCTGGTATGCCTGAAACACCGGGCCACCACGCAGACCCCCATGTCCTGCACGCCCCACTCCCCACGTTTCACTCACTTCTGCCTTCTCTTTCAGCAGGTCAAACATGTTCTCCATGTCGATGAAGTTTGTCTGGATCATCCTGCAAGAACAGCGCCGGCTGGGGCCCCTCCGAGGAGCAGGGGATATCAGTGTGCACCCCAGACGGGGCAGGGTCAGAGGTCAGTTACCTGTAGTAGGTGCCGAACCAGTTGAGCGGCATGTACAGCTGGATAATGTAGGTGCCGAACAGCACAAAGTCCCCAACCTGCAGAGATCCGAGGGGAGGACAAGGTCACGGGACGCCTATGGGCTGTCACCCTGCCCACTTCCCACCCGGGTACCTGGGGGCCCAGACACAGGCCCCGGGCCTCTCTTCCCTGTCCCCACCACAGTGCCCTCACCTGTAGCTTCTGCTCGCTGACAAAGTACGCACAAAGCAGGGAGCCAGCGAGGAGCCCCAGCCCTATCACCAGGTTCTGGGTCTGATTCAGTAGAACCAATGAAGCTGTTGACTTCCACTCCAGATCCTGGGGCGATGACATGGGGGTTCGGGGGGAGGTGGAACGTCACATATGCACTCTCACCAAATCCAAACCGAGCCCAGGCAACTTCGACCTCATTTTCTCAGCCCAAAGCTGTCCTCCCCTTGGCCCTGGCAATTCCGTGTGGCTGGGCTGCTGGTCTCAGCAGGTGTCCAGCGGGCATCTTCACCTGGTACTTGAGGATGGCCTCTCGATAGCGGTCCACTTCGTAACCCTCCGCATTGTAATACTTCACCTGACGAAGTCAAGCCGCCCTTGTGAGACACGGCTGCTGCCTGAACACATTCCCACTGCCTCCTTCCTCGTTTTATATTTTATTTTTTTAAACTTTTACTCGTATTTAAGTACTCTCTACACCCAGCGTGGGGGTCAAACTCACAACCCCGAGACTGAGTCGCATGCTCTTCCGACTGAGCCAGCCGGGTGTCTGTCTGTCCTCATTTGAAATATCACTCCCTCCCCACCGCACTCCCCCACCCCAGGTCCCCTGGCAGCCCCGCTGGCCCACACCTCCATGCCTCACACTAATACCACCAAGGCCTTCATTACCGTCTCAAAGTTTAACAAAGAATCCACAGCTCGGGCCCGGGTGGCATTCTCCTGTGTGTTCATGGCACGTCGAAACTTCGTTCTCCACTCGGTGACCACAATGGTCACAACTGCAAAGTGACAAGAGGGGGAGGAAGGGGAAGAAGAGAGCAAGGCGTCACTCTCAGAGACCACAGGGGGATGTCTGCCACTTGCCACATACACGCGAACGGTGACCAGGGCCCCAGGTACCAAAGGGAGCCCTAGCTCCCCGAGGGAAGGGGCTGTGCCCAAGACACCCATGCAACCTGTACAAGGCCTGTGTGTGAAAATGCTGTTGGGGGCTGGCTGCATCTGGTTACATGGATGAGGTTTCTCTGTGACGTGAACTCACAAGGTGACCAGGATGCCCTTCCCCGGCCCTCAGTCCAGGCCGAGCTATGGCTCCCCTGGCCGAGGAGGCCAGTCCGTCGTGCTAGGGAGCAGCAGCCGGAGTGGATTCGAGTCCCCTCATCTATAGCCTCCCCTAGCTGGGCCAGCTGAGTAGGGGCAGGGCTCACACCCAAGGAAGTCCCCGGGGCATTTCAGGGAGACATTTCCCCCAGGCAGCACTCACTGAGGTAAAGACTCATGCAGAGGAACACAATGAGGCCAAACCAGGCGTTGAAGAACATGCTGAAGTAGATGATGCCGATGGTGATGTCAGCCAGTGTGGGGAGGATGTTGAACACCAGGTAGCTAAGGAGGCAAGTCATGCGACAAAGGAAGGTTTAGGGGCTGGGAGCCAGCAGCTCTGCCCCCGGGAGTTTCCTTGTGGTTTTGTTTCTCAGTGACAGAATAGAAGCAAGCTGAATTGCCCCTCAGCGGGTAGATGGCTAAATAAACAGGCAGCAGGCCCCAAGGACAGGATGCGCCGGGTCAGTTATGAACGAGGAGGCTCTTCATGCAGGGCAGGAATGGATATCTTGCCGTTTTGTTGATAAGGCAATTCTGAGAACGACACCTATGTCGTGATCCCATGCATTTTGGGAAAACCCTCCCTAGCACCCTGTTAGGGCCGTGAGGCTGTGCACATACATATGTCAATGTATCAAAAACAGAACCCAACATCCTAGATGGGGTGGGAACCTCTGGAAGAGTGAGCAGAATTTATAAGATACTAGCTCCATTTAGCATACCTATGTTTGTCTTAAAGTTAAAAAAAAAAAAAAGGATAAAACAGGACGAAGAGGCAGCTGAAGCTGGGTGCTTTCTACAGCCAGCCCCCTTCATGCCTGCTCCTCCAGCCCGCCGCCCCTCACTCCGTTTCCGCCGGCCTGGCACCTGAGCAGCCCCGTGACGCTGGACGTGCCCCGGTCCACAATCCGCAGCACCTCCCCGGTGCGGCGCCCCAGGTGCCAGCGCAGGGACAGCTCGTGCAGGTGGGAGAAAAGGCGCAGCTCCACCTGCCGTGACGTGAACTGCTGCACCCGAATCCACAGGAACGTGCGCAGGTTGCTCACGAAGCCTAGGGGGAGCCGGGGGAGGCCTCGGTAGAGCTGGGGGGCCAAACACCATCAGCCCGGTACCCCAGATGAAAGGTCCGAGACCACCAAAGGGCCAGGGGAGGGGTGCTTAGGGGAGGAAGAGGGGAAGAGGCCAATGCCAACCAGGATGACAGCAGGGTCCCTCGTACCTGTACTGCCTGTGCCACCCCCCTGGAGGAACTTGAGGATGACATAGACGGTAACGGTCCAGGCCAGGGAGCTCCAAGGGGCCTTCTCAGTCAGCAAGTTCACTACGGAGACAGAAAGTCAGAGCCCAATTCCGGCCCTGAGGACTCTGTTCAGGAGAAACTGCTCCAGGCACCAGCCACAGCCCCTTTCTCATCCTCCCGCTCCTAACACTGCCCCACCTCCGTAGGTTAGGGCCTGGACCCCGCACGTGGCCCATGAAGGACCAGAGAACTGAGCTGGCACTTCTTCATCCCCTCACCTATGTCCCTATAGAAGATGGGGACCAACACGTTCAGTCCCCGTTCCAAGCCCATGAGCCCCAGGCAGATGAGCACAATGAACTGCAGAACTGGGCTCCCTTGAGGCCACAGGTAGCCACTCAGTAGGCGGAGCTTCCTGCCCAGGTCTTGCCATGTAGATCGTGGTGGTGCCTCTGCTGACTGAACCTAAGATGGTGAAACACATAGGGGCGGGGAGCTCAGAAGTCAAAAAGAAGTGCCCTAGGCGAACCCCTCTGGGGAAAAAGTATGGGATTACAGCTCCCAGCTATCTCAGACCCACAAGTGATCCCCAATGAGATCAGAAAGGCTCACAGGGCACAAACTGAGATTTGGGAAAGAAATATCGTGGTGGGAAAAAAGGAGGACAGGCAATGAAAGTAAGACAGACCCTAAGATTCAGAAATTCATGTATACCTCGCTCCTCTCTACATCCTGATCGTCTTCATTAATTTTCAAGGCATAGGACTGGGGACGAAGTCCAGGGGCCCAGAGTCCCAGGATAAAAAGCCCTCCAGAGACCACATACCGCAGCACCCACAGGCTAAACTGAACCTAGAATAAAACGTATCCGGAGAGCATCAAAGAAGGCCAAAAATGCCATTATTAACACTTATAACAGGGCTGGGTAGTGAGACAGGGCACATACCCAAGTCAGGGGCCCAGCATCAGGGAAGCTTTAAAAACATCTAGAGTGACTCAGCACAGACACACCCCACCAGCTGGCTATCAGCAGCCAGGCCAGGAGGCCTCCCCTTCTTCCCTTTCTTAGGTACATCCCAAAGTGTGGAACACTGTGCCCAGGCATACCATTCTTCTTCCCGGCCCTTGCCACTCACGATTCTCCTCTCCCCAAGAGGTCCCTTACCTGCTGGCCCAAGTCTGCCCGTGCCCACCACCACAGTGGGCTGTTCCAAGACACAAGGGCCAAGTTCTCAGCTGTAAATGCCACAGTCCAGAGGAGCAGGAGACCCGAGCTGTGCCTGAACTCGATCCAGATGCCCATAGCTAGCTTCTGCCAGGCCTGGTTACGTTCCACCACGAGCAGCCCCAGGCCACAGGCGCTGGCCAGAGTCCCCAGTATGGAAGCCAGCAGTAGGTAGCCTGGCAGCGGGGCGCCCCCCGCAGTGCCCACCTGGCCAACCAGGCTGGCTAGGGGCAGGGCCACCTGAAGTGTGGCCAGAAGCAGCTGCAGTACGTAGGGAGCGACAAGAGGCCCGGAGCTCCAAGACACCTCGCGGGCGCCAGCAGGCCGTTCTCGGCGCTTGCAAGGCAGGGCTAGCACCAAGGCCAGAGCCCCAAGGGCCATCAGTGTCGAGGGCATAAGAGTGAAGAAGAAGCAGGGACTCAAGCCACCCTGCACCCAGGCCGGCCCCAAAGGCCCCTCGGCCTCGCAGTAGTTGCCCACGATCACCATGGCGATACGTGGCCGCTGGCCGAGGCTGTGGGGACTGCGGGGACTGCGGGGACTGCAGGAAGGGCAAACGGGACCAGCTGCCTGGGGCGGGGCGCGGACGCTGGGGTGTTTCGGGTCATGGAGCCGAGGGGCGCCAAGCCGCAGGGGTCTTGGGCAGGGACACACGTGGGCCCCGCCACACTACCCACTCTTCGCGCACGCGCCGCCGCCACGCACTCACGCAGGGCACGCACGCCGTCTTTGCCCGTCAGTCCGCCCCTCGCTCGCAGCCCGGGAACCTCTTGCGGAGTTCGGGCGGGGTTGGAATGCTGGGCGTCTGCAGCGAGCAGCTCCCTCGCGCAGCCGCCCGGCCCACCAGGGCGGCTCCAGGCCCCACGTAGGGCCCCCATTGGTCAAACTCCCTGAAGGGGTGGGAGGGAGAGGGTGCACGCGGGAGAGGCAAGATACGGGGGCGGAGTCGGTTTAGTCACGTGCTCAGGGCGCGAAATCTGACCGCACGTCCAGCCAGACTTTGACCTCCACGGAAGCACGGCTGGGGAATGACCCTTCTGCTAGTTAGCTCGCTATATCCGAGTGGCGGCACAGCCCCACTTTCCTACAGGGCCCGACAGGGTCCCCAGCCATCAGGAAAAATCACACACATCCCACTTGTTCCCAGAATCCTAGCAGGAAGAGACAGCTAGAGGCGCAAGACACCAAGCCGCGACCTGGTCAAAGTCCCTTTTTTATTAAGGGTTATCAAGCTGTACACAGTTCCTACGCCTTCCGCTGTGAGCTCGGGCAGCACAGTTCACCACACCCGCAGCGGACTACACCTGGGTGAGGGGTAGAGAGGAAAGTAGGAGCTGGATCCCAGCATGCAATGCGGCAGCTCGAAGCCTAGGGCGAAAGCCTCCTGTCGCGCCTGTCCCTGCTCTGGGGACCCGGGGAGGCAGGCCAGAGCTCTCCTGCTGGGAGGTAGACAGCCGAGGGCACAACCGGCCCAGTCCATCCTATGTGCAGGCGGTGAGGGGTACGGTAAGCAGCAATGAGAGCCAGGATGGCCTGTCTCCCAGGGGCCCATCTTAAAAGTTGGGAGAGGGCAGCAAAGAATTTCCATCCTGCTCCTGCCAGTTTAGAAACCTTCCTTCTTAGTGTCAAAAGATAGCATGAGAGGAGCTGGGAGCCAGGGCCTCCGCACCAATGCGAAGCAAAAGCTGAACAGAATGGTAGCAAAGCAAACAGAACGGGAGCGAGAGGCCCACATGCCAGTCCTGTGCAGGAGGCGGGAGAGAGGCGAGCAGGCTGCAGCACTGGGAGAGAACTGGGGGTGAGGTATGCGCCACAGCCTGGGCTGCTCTTCTGTTTGGGGTCGGGGAGGGAGGCTGCAGAGGTTGAGGGCTGGGGCCCAACCTCCCCACTCCACAGTTGGCACAGGTTCTCCCTGCTTGGCAGGTTCTGTGGTGGGCAGTCCTCTGGAGACTTGCAGGGGTGGGTGCAAAGGTGGCAGTACTGGGGCTGGGCTGGGGACCAGTTTCTAGCACCACACTCTGAGCCAAGGGGGGTCCTGGGGATGAGGCTAGAGTCCTGTGCGTCTTGGTTCCTAGGCCCCCCATTTCTCTCCTGGGGCTGTGGAAAGCCCAGTGTTGGCATTTCCCTTGGCCAGGCACAGACACACAAACACCACACATGTGGAGCCAGGCAACACTCAGAGGAGCCCTCCGTGGCGGGCGGATGGGATGGCGGGGCATCAGCAGCCGCCATCCTGGGACATAGGGACCCTCCTCAGCCTCGTCTATACCTGTGGAGAGAAAAGCATTAGCAGTGGAGATAATCTTCAGCTATCGGCTTACCAAAAAAACAGTCTTTATCAGAGATAAAGGAAAATGAAAGCTTGATTCCTGGGCAGGAAAGCGTAGGGAAAACCAAGCCTCAGATTTCAGAGAAAGTGAGGCAAGAAAGGGGAGTGTATTTTGGAGGGGGACCAACAGTATCTCTGTAGGAGAGGTCTGCCTTCCTTCACGGGGGGCTTTGATCTTGGCCTGGAAGTTACTAGTTCCAGTAGTAGTCATTGTCCGGTCCTGGAGCCCTTACCTTGTGCACCTGAGGGGGAAGCTCATCCTCTGAGCCCTCCTCGGGCACCGGCTCTGGGTGCCTGGAGGCTGCCTGCCCGTCTTCGGCCCACCCTCCAAGAGGCAACCGTGAGAAGTGAGAGGGAGCCCGGGGTACTGTGCCAGGATCTAGAGACACAAGTAAACATACTCTTAGAATGAGCACAGACAAAAATGTGGAGAAAGGTTCTGGGGCCGTTTGGGGTGGGGTGAGGCTCAGTCTCTTTGGGCCTGATCGCTCTGACCTCCTTCCTCCCCAAGAGGTCCCCCAAAAAGCCACCTTTCCCTGAAGGCTCTCTACCTCCCGGACTTGCACTGATACCTGTGATACCCCCGTAGCGCCTCTGGAAGCCCCCCTGCAGGGCGGTGGTCTCAGGTGCTCCGGGCCGGGCTGCAGCACAGGGATAGCTGGCCGAACGGGGGATAGGTTGGGAGGCCCGGGAACCCTCTCCCCCCTCTTCAGGGGCGCTCTCCCCACTCTCATCGCTCTCCCGGCGGTGCCACACGTGCCGCTCAGGTTCGGCTTGGGCCTGCTGCTTGTGGAGCTGAGAAGTGGGGGTGGGGGGTTGGGGGGCTCATTAGTTGGGAATAGGATATCTGAAACAGCTGCCCCCCACCTTGCTATCCCCCAGTTCCCATTTTCACCACATCACCGAGAATCAATGACCCAGAGTAACTACGTTAACAGTGTGTACCACACATATGACGTCTTACAGATTAAATTCTCTGCAGATCCCTGGAACCTAGTCATTTGAGGCCATTACGAATTGGCTGCCATGTAAGAAAGTGCCAGGTGCCCTTTCAAGATGCTGGGAAGACAGCAGTGAACAAAACAGACAAAAGTCCCAGCCTCTGTATGGCTTTATATGCTGGGGGGTGGAGGCAGGGAGTTAGAGACAATAAGATAAAAAAAGGAAAAAAATGCAAATATGTCAGATAAATGCTACGGAGAAAAATAAGGCAGGAAGATTCAGGAGGGTGGCCAAGGGAGGCTCTTTTGGTCAGAATGGCCACAGATAGTCTCACAGAAGAGGTAAGAACAGACACGTGAATAAAGGAGGGAGCCATCCGCCTAGCTCAGGGAAGTGGACTCTTGGCAAGGGAAACAACAAATGTATAAAGGCCCCGGATGACAATAAGCTCATCTATGTGGGAATGCAGATCAGAGAAGGGGAACGGCAGAGAAGGGTTCCGAACCCACGTCTTGCTTTTCCACACCTAAACCCCTCTGCCTGTCAGCGGCCCCCTTGATTCCAGGGCTCTGCCCCTTCCCACTGGCTCACCTGGTGCATGTAGAGGGCGTGCAGACTCATCTCGGTGGATGCGTACTCCGACAGCACCAGGCTCTGCAGCTGTCCTTCCCACACACTGCTTCCAGAGCTGGCCGTCCTGGCGTCCAGCCTGTCCCATCCAGCACACACAAACAGTGGCCGTCAACATTTCTGAGCCCCACAGAGGCTCCTGGGGGACTACTGCCATGCCCTCCCACTGCAGCCCACCTCTACTCACCCAGAGCCTGTCATGGTGCTGGGACCTCGGCCTGTGGGCACCTGACCAGGGTGCAAAGGGGAAAAGGAGCGCAGGGCAGAGGCGACTTCGGCCCTGTGCCTGGAGCCCTGCAGGTCTCTGGGCAGTGGGGGGCCCCGGCAGGATGAGCCGGCTACCACATTTGCAATAAGGCTCAGTGGCTGTGAAAGAAAGCGGTGGGTAGGGTTCCCAGGGCAGGAGGGAGGCAGCGGGGTCCCTCAGTATTCTGGACGTCAGAACCCCAGGGCACAGACTGGACAGAAGGAAACCAACCGAAAGGGTAGGTCCTTCCATCCCAGGCCTGGTCCTCAACTCCCAGCACCAGGAGTCCACTCTGCCTACCGTCACCTCCCAGTACCCAGGGACACACCTCAGACTCAGATTGTAAGGACTGGATGGACGTAAAGAGAGCATTTTCAGGAAGCAGACCCCCTTGGGCGAGGCTGGCAGCTGCTCCGTCCCGCTGAACCTGCTCCTTGAGGAAGCCGAGGAAGGCGGTGCTCTCACGTGGCGGCTGCCAGCCGGGGTTGGTGATAGCGAAGTGCATGAGTGACAGCTCTGTCTTCCCATCCTCAGCTTGCTGGTACACCGAGGCCTCTGTCTGCCCACCCGACAGCCACTGTATAGGGGAGGCTATCGTGAGCAGGACTGCCACATCTCGTCCAGGGCCCTGGGGCGGACCCCCGCCCCAGGAGCAGCCGTATGCTGGCCGAGTTGCTTGGTTTGTGACTTTCTCAAGCAAACTTGGCCAGAGGTGCCAGCTGAAGGCTAAAATCCAGCCCAAGCTCCTAGTTCCCCAAACAGTGTGTACCCTGGTGCCTGGCTGCCAGAGACGGGGCCACCTTTTCAAGATGCGCTGGCTCAGAGCGGTGTCTTTTTTGCAGTCTGCCCAAGGACACGGTGTACCCCAGCATTGCCTCTGGCCACCCGCGCCCATCCTCTCCCAGTACCTGGGGATGCCCGTGCTGGCGAACATCCATCTGAGCAAAGGAGCAGGTATCCCCAACACCAACGACCTCCACGGTGAAATTGCGGAAGAAGTCTATGATCTCCAGGGCCCGTGGGCGCAGGCAGAAGATAAGGATGAGGGGCGTGACGATGGGGCTCAGCAGTTCCTCCAAGATGAACACCTGAAAGGGAGGGGACTGCGGTCACAAGAAAGCTGGCGAGATCCCAGCCCTCACCAGCGAGCTATCAGCCGGTCTCTAACAGGCCCTAACTCCCAACTCCACTCACTGCCTTGTACTGGAAGAGCTGGGCAAACTCGTCCCGGGTCTGCGAGCGGTGGGCATTACCCTGCCAGTGGTCAGGCATGTAGTGAATGTGCGCGAGGATCACGCGGAGCAGCTGCTCAGGGCAGAACACCATGTGCTGGTCCGGGATAAAGGACCTGCGGGAGGTGGGGCCACGGTGAGAGGGCTGCCTCTCCCAGGGGCCACTAGTCGGCTTGCTCCCACCCCCCACGCCCCACCTGCCGCCCTGGGCCGCACCTGCACACGGTCACGGTGACCCCCAGGAGCGTGACGGTGGTGAGGACGTGCTCCACGGCCAACACGT